ACGGACGCCGTACTGGACTGGTATAAGAAAATCCCAAACAAGCAAGAATCGAGCTTCATAAATTTCGACATTGTGGAGTTCTATCCCTCGATAACGGAAAAGCTTCTCCTGAAGGCCCTAGGGTTCGCGGAAAACTACGAGAACATTAGCAGCAAGGAGAAAGATATCATCATCCACGCAAAACAGACAGTGGTATTCAACGACCAGGTACCGTGGAAAAAGCGTAATGCAGACAGCAAATTCGATGTCACGATGGGCAGTTTCGACGGCGCGGAGTCATGCGAGCTGGTCGTAGCATATCTGCTGTCGATCTTGAAACCAAAGTACGGAAATAGAGTGGGACTATACAGGGACGACGGTCTGGCAGTATTCAAGGAGACCCCCAAGAAAATAGAAAACATCAAGAAGGAAATATGCCAAGTATTCCGGGAAAATGACTTAAAGGTAACGATCGAAGCCAACAAGGCAACAGTAAACTTCCTTGACATCACATTAGACCTGCGAACGGGAGGGTTCAAGCCATACATGAAACCAGGTAATGTACCTCTCTATGTACATGTCCAGTCAAACCATCCACCCGCCGTCATCAAACAGATACCAGAGGGAATCAACAAGCGACTCTCCAACATCTCGTCGAGCAAGGAGGCATTCGAGAAAGCTGCCCCGGCCTACCAGGAGGCTCTGCAAAAAAGCGGGCACAAGTATCGACTGACGTACACACCGGGCAATAACACCAGGAAAAGGACTAGAAAAAGGGAGGTGACATGGTACAACCCGCCATACAACAAGAACGTACGTACCAACATTGGAAAGAAATTCCTTCAGATAATAGACAAATACTTCCCCAAGGAACATAAGCTTCACAAAGTGCTCAACCGGAACACAGTAAAGTTATCGTACAGCTGCATGCCGAACATGAAGGCAACGATCCAGTCAATCAACAAACGGAAGGTAAAACAGGAGGACGACGTCGGTGGTAGAACATGCAGTTGTCCCCGCAATGCCGAATGCCCGCTGAACGGGGAGTGCCTCAGCAAGAACATAGTGTACCAGGCCACCGTCACGAGCGAAGGCAGGAAGGAGGCATACGTCGGGCTGACGTCCACAACCTTCAAGGCGAGACTGGCGAACCACAAGCAGTCATTCAGATCCGAGAGCAAGAGGGCGCAAACAGAGCTAAGTAAACATATATGGGACTTAAAGGACGAGGGGAAAGACTATGAAATCAAATGGGACATAGTTCTGAAAGCACTGCCATACTCTAACGTAAACAAGAGATGCAATTTATGTATAGCAGAGAAGTACATAATCATATGTAGGCCAGATCTAGGTACACTGAATAAGAGAAGCGAAATCGTCTCCAAGTGCAGGCATCGAGACAGATGTGTTCTTACTTCAGTGACGTAAACGCGTACTAACTTCAATGACGTAACGCGCGTAACGCGTGCGCGCGCTTGATTCGAAATAAGGTAAGATGCTACTTGTATTCTATTTTTCGTCATTCTGCTGATGAGTGCCTTATGGTACGAAACAGTCTGTTCAGAAAGAGAATATTCTGAATTTATTGCATGTTTATAGCTCTACAGAGATGTATCGAGCACTGTGAATTGTGATAGAAGACGATTTCATTGGATATACTAGCTCCTATTTTTATAGTTGAGCACTCTCCTGACGTCGCACTTCAAAATGGAAAGAGTGAACTTTGAATATTCGACGAAGAATATTCCGGTAGCATCGAGAACAACATACCTCAAGCGCCTGATCGAGAAAACGGAAATGTTCATCAAAAGGATTAGATGGAGATCATTCTTCTTTCTGAATCCGGAGCTGAACAAAGACAAGGCGGAGAAGGAGGAAACGTACGGATTTAACTCGCGGAAAACACCACCAGTCATTCCGGAACTGAGAGAATTCGAAGACAATTTGGTGAGTCTGATTCAAAACGTCGAATTTGAGAAGACCACTAGCCAGTTCCAACGCAAATTAAACGAAGACGTAAATACGATTAGGAATGATGATAAGCTTACCGTCAAGGCTGATAAGACTACAAATTATTACAAGATGGAAAAAGATGACTATGTAAATCTTGTCAGGGCGAATGTCACCAAAACATACAAGAAAACCGAGCAAAAGGAAGTAGCGGAAATCAATCGCGAAGCGAAAAGAATTGCTAAAAGTCTTGGACTGGGCGACCGCATAGATAAATTGGCCGAGAGGGAAGTCTTCATTACTTTGAAGGACCACAAGGACAACTTCGATAACAAACCATCATGTCGACTAATCAGCCCAACCAAATCAGAGATAGGACATATAAGTAAGGTGATCCTCGACAGAATCGTCGGTAAAGTCATAAGCGCGACAGGATTCAACCTGTGGAAAAGCACGGACGCCGTACTGGACTGGTATAAGAAAATCCCAAACAAGCAAGAATCGAGCTTCATAAATTTCGACATTGTGGAGTTCTATCCCTCGATAACGGAAAAGCTTCTCCTGAAGGCCCTAGGGTTCGCGGAAAACTACGAGAACATTAGCAGCAAGGAGAAAGATATCATCATCCACGCAAAACAGACAGTGGTATTCAACGACCAGGTACCGTGGAAAAAGCGTAATGCAGACAGCAAATTCGATGTCACGATGGGCAGTTTCGACGGCGCGGAGTCATGCGAGCTGGTCGTAGCATATCTGCTGTCGATCTTGAAACCAAAGTACGGAAATAGAGTGGGACTATACAGGGACGACGGTCTGGCAGTATTCAAGGAGACCCCCAAGAAAATAGAAAACATCAAGAAGGAAATATGCCAAGTATTCCGGGAAAATGACTTAAAGGTAACGATCGAAGCCAACAAGGCAACAGTAAACTTCCTTGACATCACATTAGACCTGCGAACGGGAGGGTTCAAGCCATACATGAAACCAGGTAATGTACCTCTCTATGTACATGTCCAGTCAAACCATCCACCCGCCGTCATCAAACAGATACCAGAGGGAATCAACAAGCGACTCTCCAACATCTCGTCGAGCAAGGAGGCATTCGAGAAAGCTGCCCCGGCCTACCAGGAGGCTCTGCAAAAAAGCGGGCACAAGTATCGACTGACGTACACACCGGGCAATAACACCAGGAAAAGGACTAGAAAAAGGGAGGTGACATGGTACAACCCGCCATACAACAAGAACGTACGTACCAACATTGGAAAGAAATTCCTTCAGATAATAGACAAATACTTCCCCAAGGAACATAAGCTTCACAAAGTGCTCAACCGGAACACAGTAAAGTTATCGTACAGCTGCATGCCGAACATGAAGGCAACGATCCAGTCAATCAACAAACGGAAGGTAAAACAGGAGGACGACGTCGGTGGTAGAACATGCAGTTGTCCCCGCAATGCCGAATGCCCGCTGAACGGGGAGTGCCTCAGCAAGAACATAGTGTACCAGGCCACCGTCACGAGCGAAGGCAGGAAGGAGGCATACGTCGGGCTGACGTCCACAACCTTCAAGGCGAGACTGGCGAACCACAAGCAGTCATTCAGATCCGAGAGCAAGAGGGCGCAAACAGAGCTAAGTAAACATATATGGGACTTAAAGGACGAGGGGAAAGACTATGAAATCAAATGGGACATAGTTCTGAAAGCACTGCCATACTCTAACGTAAACAAGAGATGCAATTTATGTATAGCAGAGAAGTACATAATCATATGTAGGCCAGATCTAGGTACACTGAATAAGAGAAGCGAAATCGTCTCCAAGTGCAGGCATCGAGACAGATGTGTTCTTACTTCAGTGACGTAAACGCGTACTAACTTCAATGACGTAACGCGCGTAACGCGTGCGCGCGCTTGATTCGAAATAAGGTAAGATGCTACTTGTATTCTATTTTTCGTCATTCTGCTGATGAGTGCCTTATGGTACGAAACAGTCTGTTCAGAAAGAGAATATTCTGAATTTATTGCATGTATATATATATATATATATATATATATATATATATATATATATATATATATATATATATATATATATATATATATATATATATATATATGAATATTTGCTTTTAGTTTGAATTGAATTCCTTGGAGAAGAAAAGCATCAAGAAGTTTGATATAGCTATCGAAAATGTCAGATATTGGGCCCGGATGCCAAATTATGTGAAACGCGGTAAAGTTTATTCTTGTAAACATCGGAGGGGAAATAATTGATGACAAAACATTCAAACATTCACGATTCTTGCGAATTAAACTTACAGGATGTCACGTAATATGACAAGTCGAAATCAATTACTTTAGCATGTGTGTCCGTTGCAATCCTTTAGTGGATCATGTTTGTGAACGTATCTACCTTAAAGGTATTGTATACCATTTGCATTTATCTTAATTGCATTTGAAATAAGGGCAGGTAATAGGGCAGACCTCATTTCACTTAGCTTTTCAATGCTTCGTGTAAAGTGCAGCTCACTGAATGTCGTGCATATTATACAATCCATAGGTCACAGGGCATGCCTGAGTACCAGCTGTGTCGTGTGAAACAAAATTACCTTGTACCTAGATAGCGTAATCGACTGTACGCACGCGGTCAATAGCTGGCTCGCGCCCGTTCACAGATGTAGTGTAAAAATATGAAAGAAACTGTTTTCCCAATGATGGTTCAGTCCGAACCATTAGTGGGAAATGATGGTAATTCCCTTTATTTAAAAATGACATCATGCTGGGCGCGACGATTGCACAGGATAATTGATCCTATCACTTACTTTTATTCGTATTTGTGTCTGCAAATGGTATACGTTACCTTTAAATACGTCAGCAACAGAAGCATATATTACTGCATTAACGAAATGAATGATGATCGTTTTGAACTAGAACAAAAAATCGATGATGTAATTGATTGCATCATCTGGTACTTTACAAGTCAAGTTTCCTGAAAACTACCGTATCCGGCATTCCATAAAAGCAGTGTGCTAGCTGTTGTCGTTCCGGCGGGGTGACGTGACTTCCATTTTTTTGTTATGCCTTTTCCAGATGTGCCTGGTAATGCATAAAAGCGCGGGCAAACGTTTGCGAATCTCAAATCAGAAGTTGAAGCATTTTGAGTCAGGGCTCTGATCCGGTGGCAATTCGCAAGAGAAGGATATTTCAATTTGAGTTGGGTGTTTTGGTGTGAATTTGTGAAGACAAACGAGGTAGCACATTCATCATGGAATCTTGCAAAATGGCGACAGTACTTCTTCTTGTCACAGTGTTGGGTAAGTATTTTTTTTAAAGAACATTTAATTATTGGTAATTGACAACATTTAGAAAACATGTAAAACAAAACTACATAATTATAACGAAATACCTTACTTTACTGTGAGTGAATGACTGTCTCAAGCATCCTGTGAAATCATGGCACCTGGTATGCTGTCATTTTCAAGAAGAGTGAAATTTTGTATCGATGGTTTTGTAATGATGGTTGGCTGACCATCGTTGGTGGAAAAATGTCTTTTTCAAATATTGCCCCCAATTTACCAAATTTAACTACTCCACATTATTTTTGTTTTCAATCGGTAACACATCCATGAACGGGTGCAAGATAGCTAGTCTGGTTCCCTGACCTGACATATCCCAGACGTCTATAAAGTGCTCCGTTTCTCCTGAAGTAGGATCAGAGAACCAAAATACAAGAACCGCGTTTTCCCCTCGTTTTTTAGCATATATGAACACAAAACTTTAAACAGGTCAGTGTAGCAATATTTGCTACAAAATGCTAACTCCCAACACAACCAATTTCTGAAAATGACAGCAAAAGCAAAGGTTGTATATACCCTTTAACATGTCCTTTTGATCTTAATTTTTCTCTGACCAAGTTGTACGGTTTGTCGGAGGTCATGGGTTCAAATCCCGTTGGAGTCATATATAATTTATGGTTAATAATTAAGATCACACTACGTTGTGATATTTCTTTATTGATGAAAGTGCCGCTCGTTAAGCAATTAACGCAAGTATCAGATAAAATCTCTGATTGTTGACTTTGAACCTCGAACTCACAACATTGTAATTCAAGCAACAGTCTGTGATGATTTTTTTTGGTATTTTGATCCTATTTATGTGCTTTTCCTGCATTAAAGTATTGTTTGATATATGTATTAGATTGTAACAATGAAACAACTACTATCAAGAGACTTTTCTGACAAACTGTGCACTCCCAAGCAAGGGCGTAGCGAGGGTGGGGTGGGAGGGGGTTAAGGGGCGCTTCCTCCTCCCCGGATAAGCACCCCCCCCCCCTCCTCCCCCCCCCCCCCAAAAAAAAGGAGGGGGAAAAAAGCATACGAGGGGCGAAGTCATATTGCTGTTAATTTAATGCACATTTAACAACATGGGCGTCCACAGGGGTGTCAATGGGGGTGCAGTGGGCAAATGTCCCCATGCCCACTCTCGAAAAACTGTTAAATTGAAAACATGCCAGAGAAAGTACAAGGATTTGGGGAAATAATGTGTTTTGTCCCCCCCCCCCCCCCATGAAAATCCTGGCGACGTCCATGCTTCCAAGTCGGCTCTTCTTCGACCCTTCCCATTTCCCCCTAATTATGTCATTAAATACTACGTATATATCCGTCTTCTTCCATAGCTCTTATGATGCCAGACTCGTCGCTTTCAAGACCACTCAGACGCAACCGCCCCGCCACACAGGCCCAGGACGACAGTGCCGAAGACGACAGTGCCCAAGTGGACTGTAGTGACGACGATGACAGTAGTAGTAGCGAGGAACGGCCGTGTACGACACAAGCCCCACCCACCACACCGACAACGACAAGAGCTACTACCACAGACATGGCGACCACCACTACTCAAGCCATGCCTACTCCGACCACGCCCCAACAGACAGATGAGATGACCACGCCCCTAGTAACCACGAGGATCACCACGCCCGTAGTAACCACGAGGATAACCACGCCCCAAACGACATCAAAACGAGGCGATATCCCGTAAAACGAAGAACTCTAGTATCTTAACAAGCCTGGATACACTTAAACTAAAATGTTTATAAAAACGGACTCTTCGATTTGGACTTTCACTTGAAACTATTGGATGAGAAGAGACAGGAATTGGCGCCATCTTAATAGAGAAAGGGGCGCACGCGTCCCCTAAATTGACCGATGACACGGCCAAATTATTTAATTCGAACTTGTAATCTTTGGATGATGCGAATTACATGTTTCCGTCCTTAGGTGAATTAAACAATGAAGCCCTACCAGTGAAACAGGTATATATGTTTATACATGTATTATGGTTTACTTTATGAATGTTTATTTGATTATTAAAACTTTTAAACCGAAACCGAAACTTCGGTTTGCATTATTTATTTTCGTCAGTATTATATCTCTTTCCTGTTAAAATGTTTGTCACGCAAATCGTCAGTTTCTAGGCGGATATGTTATTGTTTTGCCAGTGACAAGGGTAAAACCAACGCATCTGATTCTAATGTGGGACAAGATACAAAAATGGATGGATAAAATAACCAGTAAAATGTTAAAGAGCTCATGCAATGTAATTTTTTTTTTAATGCAAACCCTGAAATGCACCTTTGTGTCCCATTTAACCTTATTTTCAATTTTCGTTTCGCCAGTTTCAAGGGTATCTTGGTGCCTTTTTTTATGCTGGTGGGAATTTCCAGATTCATGAGCCAAAGTGTGATGTCATTTCAGGCAGAAACCTCAATGTTACAGCTTTTTCAGCACCAAAGGTTGCCAGCATTTTGGATATGTTGCTGTCGAAAATTTGTCTTTTCTTTGGTGGTACGTTGTTGCGTCAGTTCATGGCAGTAAGCCATTGAGCAAACTTTTCTCACAAATGTTTTCAAATGAACAAGTTTTTTTGGTTCACAATTTGAACAGAAACCCTTAAATTAAACAGTGCCTTCCTGAAATGACATCACAGCAACATCGCCCTCAGTTGTCCAGAAAAGCATGGACAACTAAACATGTTTAAAGAAGTGCACTTTTAAACACAAGGGATGTCAAATAGTTTTCAAACACTTAAGAGGAATAAAAGTTGCACAAAATGTGTTCCTAAGAAAAAAAGTCAAGGTAAACAGGAGATGAACATTTGGATAGGTCTCAGAATAAAGAAAAACTATTAAGTTTGAGTTTATTGGATCAAGTTGGCCTCCTTTTTCATTGACCAAGAGGAAACCATGATTACGACAGCCTGGGGCAGGATGACATACAAACATAAACACCTGCATGCGCTTAGTGTGGACGGCTCAACACACTACGGCAAAATGATGTCATCCTATGGCGATTTGTCCCGTGGTTTTCCTTCGCCACAATCCTCTGGGTTCGTTCCCCTTCCTTTGGAACCTTGGGTAGTTTGGTTAAAGCCAGTCCCGGCCAACAGAAATCCCACAGAATGACGAAGTGCTATCAGAGGAAGTGAGAAACATTATCCGTCATACATTCCCTCCCCCGACCTCCACAATCCCTAAGCTCCGCCTCTCATTAGCCGTAGTCGAGCATTGGGGAGATCTTGGATCCGGTTCGATCGAAACTAATCTTGACTCAAGGGGACTCCGTTGAGGAGGAAATCAAAATTAAAACGAGTTCTAAGTTAAGATTTTTTACACATCTACTGGAAGGATAAGGGTCATTAAAATTAATTTTGCTTCAGTTTTAGGACATTCCTTTGAAGTGATGATATTTTAAGATCGTTCAGTTTTTTATCAGTGAGCAAATTTTGAAGGATTTTGTTTTAATGAATAAAAAAAAATAGTTACTACTTTGGAAAGTTTACTTAAGTAAATTTTTCGTCAGTAAGGATATTTAGTTCGGTCGGTTTTTCATTTCTTTCCACGAGGCAAACCAGCATTCTTACTATCACTCGTTTTATTCAGTTTTATGAAACACATCAAAGTACACGGAAGTACCTTGGGCATTTTAGGGGTTTCCCGGGAGAACATTGATTTCTCAGAAAGCCACTCGAAGGATATGATTTGTGTCAAGTAATCTGCAAGCCAAATGCCGGATGTAAAAAGACAGACAAATTCGCTCTTTTTGGCACGAGTTTTGTACGTGCGAAGAAGTCCATAAGCCAATATTATTTCTTTAAGATGTTTTCTTAATCGTTGGGCGCGCTCTAACCAGCAACCAATCACAGACTAATCTTCTCCACGTCCTAAGAATCCGCCAAAGAGAGAGACTTAGTAAGTAAACCTACTTAGCCGTCCACAAGTACCGCAACGGTTTGTGGGAAGTCTCGAATCTGCATCAAGTCGATGTCTGGCGAGTGCACAGCTGACATTGGCTCTGATTATATCCAACACAGTCTGGCGAGAGATTGTTGGAGGACATTCGTTCCAGACAGATTTGCCAAAGCGACTGCGTCGTGTTTAATTCAAGATGGCGGCAACGTTAACAGTGGGTCTGCTTTGCTTCGTTGCAACAGGTAGGTAATGTCAGTGGCGGGAGGAGTTTTTAATTAGTAGCTCTAAGGTGCGCGGGAAGAACCTTTACCTTTTAAAGGTCAGAGTGCAAAAAAACATTAAATTACAGCGTTGAGTGGTTTTAGCAGGATTTGTTTTTGAATTGGAGACATGATTTCTTGACGTTGTTCAAGATCTTTGGAGATTTGCAGTTAATGATGCAAAAGCTGATAATGGTATACTGTTGGAATGATAACGATTTTTTTTGAAGAATCATGATTAGGGTTTGTTAAATATGGACCCAAAACCGACTTAGTTGGTGTTACCCTAGTCTAGCGCAGTACAAGTTTTGACCATATTTTTCCTATATATTTAGATACGGTAGCAAATTGAAAGACGGAAAAGGAGATAAAAGTGCTCCCCAAAATAAACTGGGCATTGCATTGGAAACATTTCACTTTAAAAGTCAAGTTTTTGCCTCATTCTAAAGTCTCCACTGTTTCATTCAATTTGTTATTTTTTCACCTTCAAGTTCATGTAAAAAGACCAAGGCTTGTAGATGTTAAGGATTGAAGTATCCTTTTTTCGGAAATGACACTCTATACAGGGTGGATAAAAAAAACGAAACCGATATATTAATTGCTAATTGGAACAGAAGTAGGGCACATGTGAATCAAAGGGAGATATCCTCTGTTACGGTTGAATCTCATCTTTAAAATGACACCCTGATCATGTCATTACATTCACGGTTGACTGAGCAGTGACCAATTTTATGAAAGGGTCTATTAGACTGAGGATTGCGCCACTTTTGTGGTTTGTGTTGTGTCAATTGTCACAGAGTGAAAGGCTATGGTTGCCAATCAAGACAGGTGGTGGAAAAAGAGATTTCACCATGAAAAGTGGCGCAAGTCTCCTTAATAGACCCTTTCATAAAAGTCACTGCTCAGCCAACCGTGAATGTAAGGACATGGTCAGGGTGTCATTTTAAAAAGGAGATTCAACCCTAACAGAGGATGTCTCCCTTTAATCACCCGATTCACACGTGCCCTACTTCTGTTCCAATTAGCAATAATATCTCGGTTTTTGGGGTTTTTTTATCCACTCTGTATATCAGCAAAGTGCAAGGTAGGTACCCGCGAGATGTTCATACAACGACCAGTGCTGAGACTTGTTTACATAAACTTTCTTTCCCGGCGCGACGATAACATGGTTGTGGATTTTAATATGTGGTCAGGTCGAGTCATTCCACTAAAACCTTCGAGCATTGTCTTCCTATCCAAAACATTTCCGCACCAATTAACAAGATTATGTCTTCTCATCTCTTTACACGTAGTGATCACCGTCCTTCCACCTATGGCTGACTCATCGCCCATTAGTCTGGAGGACGGTCGGCCAAATGCCAGGCGAGTCTACTGGGCTCTCAACCAGGAAGACGAGAGCTCCGAAGACGGGGCCCAGACATATGGAGGGGAACAGAAAGAGGCGGGGGATAGCTCGGAGGAAGTGGGAGGTGGCGGTTGGGGACCTGATCCACCAGTCCGACCACCGGTTGAACCAAGTCAAGGTCCGGGTACCAGCAATCCTAATCCCGGACCAGAGACTCCAGATGGTGGTGGTCCTGTGACCCAGGCTCCTAGTCCCTCAATGGCACCACCACAACCTGCCACGATGCCACCCGTAACAGCTCCCACGACTCCCCCGAGAGGCGACGGTGGCACCGGCATTGGTTCGTTTGCCCCGAGGCAAGCGGTAGAACGCGCTCCCAATGTTCTCCCTCTCCCCAACCCGCCAAAGATTAACAACAACATCGCCGCCATTTCGAAAGAGGTCGAGGTACCAACAAACCGGAACAGAGTTCGTGTGCCGCTGGGGGCGCTCTTGACGGTGGTTGTGATTGGCGGGCTGGTCGTGGTAATGGCAGTCGGAGGCGTGGCTTATTTCTTTGCCACAAGAGTCAGGATACATTGACAATGAGTGTTGCACATTGTGTTGCTGACATGCTATTTAATTGTTAACAATTGGGTGGGCGCGGCTACGGACAACCACGCCCCCAACAACCACGCCCCCAACAACCACGCCCCCAATGACGCAAGAGTGACATTCGGTATCAGCCAGCCATTTCTTGTGCAATCATACATTGTTAAAAATTACTTCAATTAGTGAAATTCAAACTTGTTACCCACCTATAGTTGGCATGTATCATTGTCTTTTATATGGTTTTGGTTTTCGCCCTATTTTAATAAATGGCTCTTTTGTTTCTATGGCGACTTTGTAAACTAAAGAGAAACTCACATTGCTATGTATAGTGTAAATAGTTATATTATTCAAGTATTCTGTACTTATTTTAAAGTCAAAAAGTCCTCCCTGCGTGTACAAACTGTACTGTTTTTAAAAATTAAAAGCAGACAAAAAACACCTCTGTCTCATCAAGGTGATTGTTGCTGATCACATGATGTAATACCGTGTGTCACAAAGTGCACTGTTTGCTGTTAGCCTTCATTTATCATATAAAGTATTCCACTATTTTAAGGTTATTCTGGATTTAAAACTGACTCATAAACCAACTGATAGATCACAGCAAGTGACCTGTCGGTTCGCCAGGATGTTCATCAAGGTCCCATAATTGTACTTTGAAGAGCGCACGACCACCACGTATCACATGCAGCACTAGTTCGGGCGAAGACCATTAGTCGACTAGTGGTCGATTTGTGATGTAACTTTGTGACGTAGTCAAACGCCGGTCAAAACGTCATCACAAACCAGCTGGGTTCTGGCTCCCTGCTGTACATTATGGTGCGCGCAGCTATTGATAACCAGCGATGCAACCGTGCTCCGGTTCCAAAATGTCGACTACAGTAGTGCAATCATCCTGCTTTCGAGTGAAATTAGTCGAACTATGGTTAATTAACCATAGTCCTCGCTCGAACTATGATTACCAAAGACTGAAACGTTTCAGTTTGAAGGGAGAACGACGAAGCTCCAAACATGCACACGATCCTCAACAACTGCGCATGTGTAAAAAAAAAATGGTCTTTTTGGCGAATGGGGGCGCTGTGTCGTCGCCATTTTGGAGGAACACAAAAAGACGTGAATCCAACGTTATTGACGTATTGGCTTTACCTGTTGCTATAATTTTAAAAAAATATATATGTTTGGATTGAAATTGAGTTGTTAAATCGTTTTATTGTGTTTATTTTTGTTATGTTTTAACCAGAAAACAGTGCAAACATTTGATCAAATATTTCAGGTGAATTGTTACAATTGTCCTCTGTATAAGTAACCAACAATATTTTCTGAGAAATCTTTTGCATAGTTGAAGTTGTTATGTAAATGTACAAAATGAAAGGCAATACAAAAAAGGACCAAATATATTTGAGGAAATATGACTGTAATTATGTCTATGAAATAATTGGACAATAAAGGGTCCATGAAATGAATCTTTCTTAGCAACACATTTTGTGCAACTTTCTACTCCTCTTTAATGTATGAAAGATATTTGACATCCCTTTTGGGTCAATTTGATTGAACAGTTCACTTCTATAAACATTCAAATTTTTCCATGCTTTTCCGGACAACTGAGAGAGGGCGCTGTTGCTGTGATGTCATTTCAGGAAGACACAGTTCATTTTACGTGTTTTCTGTTCAAATTGTGAAACCAAACATTTGTTCATTGAAAACATTAATTCTGTGAGAAAAGTTTACTCCTTGGCGTACTGCCATGTACTGACACAACAACGAATCACTAAAGAAAAGAAAATTTTCGACAGCGAAATATCCAAAATTCTGGCAACCTTTGGTGCTGAAGCTAGTTGTAACATTGAGGTTTCTGCCGGAACTGACATCACACTGTCTTTTGCTCATGAATTTGGTATTGGCATAAGCATACCAACCAAAAAGGCACCAAAATAACCTTGAGAAAGGCTATTAAACGAAAATTGAAAATAGAGATATAGGACACAAAGGTGCATTGTCAAGGACTGCATTAAAAAGATCACATTGCATGGGCCCTTTTTTAGACAACATGACATTTGATTGCGTTGTGTAGACAACTGCCTGTCTAGACTAAAACATGAGACGGAAGTGTGTACAGAAGATGTAAGCAGCAGGGCATTGTGGGATAGATCACAGCTGGAAATTGGACAAATCCCAGAGGCGGGCATAGAGGGCGTTTCGTCTGTCTTGACGGAGAAGCCACCACCTGTCTTTACCATGTCTTGTGTCGGATTAAGTCTTAAAAGTAAAGGCGCTCGCACAATAAGCTCCGTTTACATCTTATTATTACCAGCTACACTGGATAAAACTATACCACAAAACTGTACAATCACAGTCTCAAGTGAAATATGATTACAACGTCACATGACACGTGACATTATCTCATTTGAACCAACAGAGGGCTCCCTTCTTTTGGATGAATGGGTTTTTAATTTTTGTATAGCACGCCCCCTTTAAACTAGACGTATAAATAACATACGTGACTAAGCGACGCCGAATTGTTAAAGGAAATTGAGTAATCCGGTAGGCCTTAAAGATCAGTTTCATTTTAGGCGTGCGCTGTGTCATACACACAGACTGGTCTAAGTCCTCTGCGGCAAAGTAAAAATTAAAATATATCCTGTTTTTCTTTGACAACAGAGGGCGGTGTTTACCAGAACATTAAGGGTGCACTGAACTAATTCAAGCCCCATTGAAAACAGTGTAAAATAACACTGCATTCATGTTCAGGGCCAAATAACATGCAAGCCAACATCACTGGGGTTTCTCGAACAAAAAATTAAATTATTGTCTTGTCTTTCATCTTTTCATTTCTTTTCAATTTTCGGTAGATAACCCAATTACATTGTTAAATATTCACACCCAAACAAAATCACCTCCCGAAAAGTGATAGTTCCCAAGCCTGCATGTAGCCATTTTTCAAGTGGCATCCTTCCACTTTCACAGGCAAATAGGACCCATTTTTCATTCGTAATTTTATCAAACCTGCCCTCAGATGGAAGCCCAAAACCAGGGAGTTTATCCTTGGGTAAATTTACACTGATTCCACTGTTTTAAATCCAAACGGTCTCCGTTTTCAAAGGAAATTGTGGGGGCATTTTTATGCTAATGACTCGCGTAGAAATTATCACATGAATTGGTTCAGTGCACCATTAAAACGTTTTTGACAGTGAAATCTAATATTGACATTATTATGTACCCATGTCCCGGATACTGTTTATTTATAGCAGTTGTTTCAGTAATACCTTCTTCTAGAAGCTGATTATTTTTTTTCTGAGGAACATATTCTGTGCAAATTTCTCCTCCTCTTAAATGTATGACAACTATTTGACATCCCTTTTTTTTGGGGGGGGGGGGTAATTTCATTGAAAAGTGAACTTCTTTAAACATTCAAAAGGGTGCTGTTGCTATGATGTCATTTCAGGAAGACATTGTTCAGCTTAGGGGTTTTGTGTTCAAATTGTGAACCCACTTAAGTTGCTCATTGAAAACATTTGTGAGAAAAGTTTGCTCATTGGCTTACTGCCATCTACGGGCACAACAACGAATTAATCCCCCCCCCCCCTCCCCCAAGGGGAAATTTCCGACAGCAAAATATCCAAAATTATGGCAACTTTTGGTGCTGAAAAGCTGTAACATTGATGTTTATGCCCGAAATGACATCACACTTAATCTTGCTGAATATGGAAATTCGCATTATCAAGCATAAAAACAAAAAAGGCACCAAAATACCCTTGACATTGACAAAACGAAAATTGAAAATAAGGTTAAATGGGACACAAAATTAATGTGCATTTTCAAGGATTGATTTTTTTTTTAAATACAGTCCGAAACGCAATAAATAGTATCAGATTGAACTGATTATTCTTCAATTATATCGAACGAAAAAAAAACTCTAGATAGGTATTTAAAAGTACGATTGTTCTTCTGGCACGATTTCTTTTTGAAAGACAGACTAAAATGATTTGTTTACGGCTCCAACAAATTACGGTTAGTGCTCTTAACGACAAAGTTTTATTAGTCAAATCAATGTCCATTCTCTCGTCTAAGTAGATAATTCAGACTATCCGTGTTCTCAGAGCCGCGCCCTAAGACGCTGCAAACAAACAATGGCCAAGACATCCATGAAGATCATTTTACTGCCTTGGAGTTGGGAGAGACACAAGTGAAGAGCGAAAGAGCCAAAATGGATCCAGTTAAAATTGCGCTTCTTCTCTTCTCGGGTGAGTACATATAAAAAGTAGATTGTGATTGGGTTTGATTTTGTGTTTATTAGATCGTGATGTTTCCTATTGCACGACGGCAAGTGAGTGGAAATGAGTTTTAAAAAAATCATAAACATGACATTGGATTTCATTTTGACATTTCAGTCAGCAATATTTCTGACTGCTTACTGAGTTCCATGTCATTTTATCCAATACTGATAGTTTCCCCTATTTTTTTTTCTTTTCAGCATTTCTCATACCGACCGAAATCCTTACATCCGACTCCAAGTCACAAAGACATCACCACCGATCCCTCACGAATATGAAACAAGGGAGACTCGAGAACACAAGAGGCGGCGGTGTCAACCCGCTTCCACTTAAGCAGCTCAGGGAAGATCTGATGGAGAAGTACGAGAATCGCATCAACCGCGTCCGGAGAGACTCTTCCGAGGAGCATCTTCAGCCGGAGGAGGGCGAGAGCGATGTTACCGGTACCGGGGGAGGCCAGGGGTCCTCTGTCGGGTCGAGCATGGCGTACGGCGCAGGGTCTAGTTATGGCTCGCAGAGCATCATCCGGCTAGACTTCGGTCTTCTCAGACTCAGAAATGATACAAACAGTGGCGCATCTAGTGTCTGTTGCAAGTCTGTGCCGTATATCTCCGTGATGCTGTCGGTACTGGTAATTCTTGGTGTTGCCTGTTAGCGCCTGTTTCATGAGGATCCTGAGAACGACAGGCTTAAAGGGCCTTAACATGAATTTTACTTGGGCTCATTATTTTTGTGCAACTCTCTACTCCTCTTAAAATGTATGATAACTATTTGACATCCCTTTTTTGGATAATTTGATTGAAAAGTGCACTTTTTAAAACATTTTAAACTTCCATGCTTTTCTCGGCAAATGAGGGCGCTGTTGTTAATGGTGTTCAGGAAGATACTGTTCATAGGTTTTCTGTCAAACCCAAAAGTTGTTCAGTGAAAAAATTTGTGGGAAAACTTTGCCCATTGGCCTGATGTCATGTACTGAAACAACAATGTATCACCAAAGAAAAGAAAATTTACGAGAGCAAGTTATCCACAATAATATATTTTGGTGCTGAAATAGTTGTAACATTGATGTTTCTGCTGGAATGACGTCACACTTTTGCTCTTAAAATATAGAAATTCGCATAAGCATAAAAACAAAAATGGCACAAAAATGCCCTTGAAATTGCAAAATGAGGTTGGATGAGACACAAAGGTGCATTTCCAAGGACTGCATTAAAAAAATTACATTTAATGAGCCCTTTTAATTTTTTTTTAATATTTAAGAGTTTGTCATAGGTTTATTATTTTGAATACACTGTGTGAGCTGTTTTAAAGTCTGTGATTGTCATGATTTTGTTTGTCTGGTTGTTTATGGCTCAAGTATGTCCATTATTCTATAGGATATGGCCCAAATATCCGCCCCAAAATGTTAACATGTTGAAATTCACGTACGTGTGCTATGGCTAGCATCAAGAATTCCTCAAAGCTTGGAAGCTAATTAGGATGTACTCTTCTGACCTGTAGTAAGAAACTGTCTAGAGAGGGCGCTCTACAATCAGCTCAAAAAATCAAGAGCGCCCTAAGGTTGCAGACCAGCAAATAAACTGCCATAGACCTCAATGATAAATACCCCCACTTCTCAACATCAGGAAAAATATGCACAATTCTCCAAGGTGTTTGAAACACCCATTCAATTAAAGCTTTATTCATCGTCATTCTTTTTCTGTTCAACTTTTGTTGCGGCTAATCTGATGATGTTTGGGAGAAAATTCCATCCAAAGATGATCACCCCTAAAAGTATAGTCATGAAGCCCATTGCCGTTCTGAAAATGAAGCCTGTGCTCCATTGCAAAATATGGCAAATTTAGGGCCTCGTTTCATCAAATTAAAGGGGGACACCCGTCAAATTAAAGCTCATTTTATCATCATCATTTTCTGTTCAATTTTTAGGGGGTAATCTGATGTCGTTTGGGAGAAAATTCCATCCCAAAAAATTATCACCCCTAAAAGTTTTCATGAAGCCCATCGCCATTTTGAAAATGATGCCTACGCTCCATTGCAAAATAAAGCAAATTTAGGGCCTCATTTCATGCAAATTTCACGGAAATACAATGTCTCAGTCCTGATCAAGGCATCCAATCTTCGTGGGGTTTTTTAACAACAAAACCCTAAGGTTCGTGGCCCACAAAATGCTCTAAAAGCAAAACAACTATGGGCCTATTTACTGTCCTACATCCTTTAATATACCCGAAATTTTGCTATTTCCCCAAACCACTTTTACGGCGAGAGGAATGATTCATAAATCATATTTAATTACAAAAAAAACTGAGGGGAAAAAATTCTCCGAGTTCGATATCAGGCCTGAAAATTGGAGCTTGTATGCGCCTTTCCCGGCTTTGCATTAGAGTTAGAACGCCCCCATAGCGTTAATTGAGTTCCATCTCCTCCCCCAGCCCTCACCCCCGCCACCCCCCCCCCCCCCCCCACCCACCCACCCAACACCACCACCCAAATATTTAAGAGTTTGTCATAGGTTTATTATTTTGAATACACTGTGTGAGCTGTTTTAAAGTCTGTGATTGTCATGATTTTGTTTGTCTGGTTGTTTATGGCTCAAGTATGTCCATTATTCTATAGGATATGGCCCAAATATCCGCCCCAAAATGTTAACATGTTGAAATTCACGTACGTGTGCTATGGCTAGCATCAAGAATTCCTCAAAGCTTGGAAGCTAATTAGGATGTACTCTTCTGACCTGTAGTAAGAAACTGTCTAGAGAGGGCGCTCTACAATCAGCTCAAAAAATCAAGAGCGCCCTAAGGTTGCAGACCAGCAAATAAACTGCCATAGACCTCAATGATAAATACCCCCACTTCTCAACATCAGGAAAAATATGCACAATTCTCCAAGGTGTTTGAAACACCCATTCAATTAAAGCTTTATTCATCGTCATTCTTTTTCTGTTCAACTTTTGTTGCGGCTAATCTGATGATGTTTGGGAGAAAATTCCATCCAAAGATGATCACCCCTAAAAGTATAGTCATGAAGCCCATTGCCGTTCTGAAAATGAAGCCTGTGCTCCATTGCAAAATATGGCAAATTTAGGGCCTCGTTTCATCAAATTAAAGGGGGACACCCGTCAAATTAAAGCTCATTTTATCATCATCATTTTCTGTTCAATTTTTAGGGGGTAATCTGATGTCGTTTGGGAGAAAATTCCATCCCAAAAAATTATCACCCCTAAAAGTTTTCATGAAGCCCATCGCCATTTTGAAAATGATGCCTACGCTCCATTGCAAAATAAAGCAAATTTAGGGCCTCATTTCATGCAAATTTCACGGAAATACAATGTCTCAGTCCTGATCAAGGCATCCAATCTTCGTGGGGTTTTTTAACAACAAAACCCTAAGGTTCGTGGCCCACAAAATGCTCTAAAAGCAAAACAACTATGGGCCTATTTACTGTCCTACATCCTTTAATATACCCGAAATTTTGCTATTTCCCCAAACCACTTTTACGGCGAGAGGAATGATTCATAAATCATATTTAATTACAAAAAACACTGAGGGGAAAAAATTCTCCGAGTTCGATATCAGGCCTGAAAATTGGAGCTTGTATGCGCCTTTCCCGGCTTTGCATTAGAGTTAGAACGCCCCCATAGCGTTAATTGAGTTCCATCTCCTCCCCCAGCCCTCACCCCCGCCACCACCCCCCCCCCCCCCCCCCACCCACCCACCCAACACCACCACCCAAACTGTATTTCGAATTCGCTGCAATTGGCTGATGGCCTGTCGGCCCCTGAAGATTTGGGGGAATTTTTTTGTGGATCCATCCTTGGTGCCCCCTATAAAATGACTGTGCCTCCCCCAGGTCCCGCCGAAAAACGCGTCCATTTTGAAAGTCGGTGGCAGACCAGCTAATAAACTGCCATATATAGACCTCGGTGATAAATACCCCCCCCCCCCCCATATCAGGAAAAATACTCACAACTCTTCAAGATGTTTGAGACACCTATCAAATTAAAGCTCATTTCACGTCATCATTCTCTGTTCAATTTGTAGGGGTAATCTGATGACGTTTGGGAGAAAATTCCACCCAAAGAATTATCACCCCTAAAAGTATTCATGAAGCCCATCGCCATTTTGAAAATCATCCAAATTTTACAGAAATACAAAGTCGCAGTCCTGAATAAGGCTTCCACCCTGCATTTAAAAAAACTCAAGTTCAGGGCCCACAAAATGCTCTAATAGCAAACAAATGGAGAGCGTACAAATCGTGATTTGGCCCACGTAGGCAATTTTGTGGCTATTTACTGGCCTGCACCCCAAGGTTTATTTCTGGCTTGGAACGTTAGAAATGACTTTCTTATACCTGAGCGCGGAAATTGAGGTCCTGTTTTGACCTTCTCAAGTTTCTGTTTTGTATTCTGTAGTTAATATTTCAATTTGTTTGGCGGGTGGCTGTGATCGGCACAGTGCCGTGAGTAATCATTATGAGTTTCCCGCCATTTCCTTGGACTCCTATTTTTAGCTGTTGATAATTGATGAAATCATGCTGTAAGGAATGTCCCATGACCATTTCTGAAATTTGAAAAAAAATCGCAGTGAAGCCTTTTTTTACATGTAGTGTTGAGATCAGTGGAGATCAGTGGAGATCAGTGTAGAGAACAGGCACGAAAAGGGACTTCCTGACTAAGGTACACAATAGCGCCCTCTGTTTTTTCTTTTACTTTTTGAAGAAGCACAATCCTGGAGTTAGCCTATAGATCATTATCATGTTGCAGCCATCTTGATTTTTCCCATTCAAATCAATGTAATCAAAGCGAGGCTGGAAGGAAAAATAGTCTGCTTCCTTTTTGCACAAAAAATATTATCATTCTGTACTTTTATCGGACACAGGGAACATGACTGAAATGGTGGCAGCATGGTAAAGATCTATTGCTTGCGTCTCGTTGTCTTGTTTTGTGACAACGTCACAATACATTTGGCCGTAACAAAATGGAATTTCAAGGATCGTTTGCACATTGGAATGACGTCATGTAGAAACCCTACTGCACTGCACTTGTAGGTTAACTTTTTTTCTTCTTCATGTTTATTTAATATTAACCAAGACTAAGGCCTTTAAGGAAATTAGATTGAAGCCAACATTTTTAGCACCTCAAATGTGGCAGTCAAAGACGACATGAATAAAGTTGAAAATGAATTTTAGACAAGGGAATTTCATTTATATCAAATAAATTTATTGTTTACCTGCCAAGATCGACCTTTAACCAATAAATTATATACGTTTATTTTTTGCTTGATTTTTAATGATTATAATTTTCAATTATAGGAAACGATAGTTTGAAATAGGGATATTATGGATATCTTGATAGCTTCCATGTTTTACAAAGATGACATTGTTATTCAGCACAGCAATTTGTAACATATATTTGGAATGAATATAAATACGACTAACCGGAAAAGTAAAAATGTTAGTTAATCATCTAAAAAGGGGGGGGGGGTTGGGGGTTTGTTTGTTTGTTTTTGTTTTGTTTTCGTTTTTGTTTTGTTTTAATGAGTTGTTTGTTTCTTTTTTTTATCTGGTGGACGCCCTTTTAATTGTAAATGAAGATAACAGGCAACATGGCTTAACATACTCCCTTTTTGGAGGTCATTTGAAGAAAATGAAAGGTATAAAGAAAGAACTTTTTAAGGTTGAAATACTTGGAAAGCTGAAAGCTGTTTTTCTTAATAACTATATTGAGTATACAACCTACCGGAAATACGTATTATTGTAAAAAAAAAAAAAAAAATATTATAACTGTTGGCCTGTTATTAAAGAACAAAAATAGCAATGTCGCCCATATCACCTTCACTTTAATTATCATTATTTCCTCAACAAAATATTTACTAATTCTTCCGTTTTATTTACCTTTTGCAACTTTTACCATGAACTGATTAAGATTAAATATGTGCCTTATGAATGTTGCAACTATCCTGGGTATAATAACATTTTGTCACGAACAAACAGCGTGACTAAACCAATAGAGGCTCTCCCATCGTACAGTATTGTACACCAATTTGCATAAAAATAACCGCCATTGAATTGATCAACGGATGTGCGGTATTAAATTAATTAGAACAATGGGCGAATTGACGTCAGAGTGCCTGGCCCAAATTGAATGACTTGTCGAGTGTTCTATTTTTGTCCCGCTCAATAATCCATCAGACTTGGGTTGGATTTGTGTCCCTTCACCTTCCTTCCTCCTCTGCTAACGCATCCCATATAACCTTTTCTGACCTCCTTCAAAACGGCGGATTCGTCCAATTAACCCCCGATTACACATCAAGGGTATCCCCGCTTGAGGTCGGACCACGACCCACGGGGAACTCAGTGGTGGAAGGAAACAACTCTCCCTAATATGGGAGGCCAGAAATGATGATAACATTTTCCAATTCCAGTCATTCCGGGAGAGAGCGTGAACCCAGCAGCTCATAGTTTTGTCGAGGTCTGGAAGTCCATCACCTTACATTCCACGATGTCGTACTTGTTCTTGCTTCTCATTGTGTGCCCAGTAGCAGGTAAAACGTTAATCATTTTCAATTGTTATTTCACAAAATTGCTAGATCAAATTTTTTTAATTCGCTTGCTCTTTTTTTCAAATCTCATACTTGTTTTCACTTTAACTAATATGCAATCATAACATAACAAACTTAACATATTATATAGGCCTAACTACAATCAACAATCATGCCATTCTTGGATGAAATGGTCGCTTACACATCTTGGGCTTTTTCTTAGAGTTAATATACTGCAATTTTGTTTCCTTGAGGTAGCGATCTGATTATAAAGATTATGTTGATGTTATGGAGTCAGAATTATTATTCACAAACTGTTCACTCATTAATTGTTTCAGTGTTCGGCCAATGGGGCGGATTTCCCATGGGTGGGGGGGAAGGGGTCCCAGAAGCAGTGGTTCCCTCCACCACCCAACCACCCTTTTTCAATGCTGGGGCGGGCAGTGTCGGTGGAAGCAACGGCAACAACGGAGGCACGAGCGCCGGCGGTGGGGTAGGGGATACCGGGGCCGGCCAGGCCGCTGGTGGGGGAACCGGCGGCGTCGATGACACGGGTGCTGGTACCAACGACGGTATAGATGACAACGATGGCACAGATGACAACGATGACACGGATGGCTCTGGTGGCAGTGGTAGCGGTGAATCGACCGGTGGCAGCATGTCTTATTCCTACGACTACGGCGCCGGAGCTGGCTCCCCAGGGCTCCTGCAAACATCTGGCGGGAAAGCTGGCGTGGGGATCGCCTGTGTCGTCGCGGTCGCTGTTCTCGTTGCGGGCGCTATGTTTATCTTCTACAAGAGGCAGCAAAGACAAGCAGCGGGCGGGGGTGTTTAGGTCTACAGTTAACAAAACGGACTCTTAATTTGAAAACTCAAATAATCAGTTAGAATTATAGTTAATTTATTTGTGCTAAACTTGAAACTCGTTTGTTAGAACTCAGCATTGTCATTCATCACGTTAATCTACTCCTACAGTATTCACTTTTGCCGGTGATGATGCTGAACACATTTTAATGCTAACAACCAAAAGAATCAACTCCTGCGCATTGTTTTCATTTGTTCTGGCGCCGATTGATAATGAGCAGCTTTAAACAATAGTCTTTTGGTCTAAATGCCGTGTTGTTACACTTTTGGGACTGGCGTTGTGTGAGATATTTCACGGAAAAACTACGGGTAGCCTTTTGCTAAAAAAACAAAGGTCATTCTATGCGGTTCAAATCTGTTCTTCCCCTTCCAACTGGTCGGCTGATGACGTCAGAGTCTTCGCGGGCTTCAAACTGAATAAAGCTCGAGCCAGTTGCATCATTCACGATTCCAACATATGAGGGCGCTATGCAGGTTTAGTAGTTCCGCTCATCACTGGTTGAGAAGGATAAAGACCTCGACCAAGAACTAGCGCCATCTACGAGGAAATTTTGCTATTGTCATTCAAGTTAATCTACTCTTTGCCAAGAGCTATACAACTTTTTGGCGCTGCACTATAGTCTTTCGTTGCTGCTTTAGCTTTATAAAATGGAATATAACTGTCGCAATTTTTTTGCAGATTTAATCAGCTATCGGTTAAATCTATGATCGGTATTAAAGGTCTTTTATATTAAATCGCTTCTTCTGTAGGTTAGAGGCTTAAAATTGGAGAGCTTTTTCTGTGGCTAAGTAGCGTATGAATAATAACAATGTTTCTTTGGTTTGCAGGAAGAAACATAAAACGGACAAGAGGCAATAGTTAGCGAAGGTTACATCCGGGAGGCTATATTCAGACAATGGTCAAAGATAATTGTACTGGGCAGAATTAGATATACTGGGCAGAAATTAGATGTATTGGACAGGAATTGCAATAATCAAGACAAGAAATGGTTCAGTTCCATCATCCGCAGCTGAACTGCGGGCAGTTATGCGGAATCACTATTGTAGGGGTAGCCTAAAATGAGGTCTGCTGTACATTATCGCACTTGTGTATTCATTTTATAGCTGTATGTTTGCCTAATTACTATGGAAGATGTGTGACTGTATTATAACTGCATATATTTTAATTCTATTATAGCCTTTAAATCGTCTGATGAGTTATCACTTTTGTCAACTTGACCAGATTCGACTTAAACTTGTGGATACGATAAAAAGAGAGGCTCGCTTTGTATACTGGAATAAACAAAAAACAGAAACGGTAAAACGCCTGTCTCCTTAAAATTAATGTGTGTACTACGATGCAGCAATAAAGTACAATGCTGCAGCAAAATGTGTATCTATAGGCCTATTCTCCTTATATTGTCCCATAACCTCATTATATTCCTCGCTTTTTGTTATCGTGAGGATTTCGCAATCGTGCACTTCAGTCAATCACGCACGCGCAAATAACGAATTCATCAAAGATCAATGAAAAACAATTGTTACACATAAAATCAGTACATGACCCAAATGGATACAAGCGGTGACTCAGGTACCTCTTGTAATTTTCTGAAAGTGAGGGCGCCCTTTTCACTTCTGAAGCCCCTGCCTCCTCAGGCTGAGCGACATGTGACAATGGGGATGCCAACGGGGGGAGGGGAAGGGGGTTCTAGAAAAAAATATCCGAGTCTTGAGGGAGAAAAGATTTTATATATGCAGGTATAAGCAGGTTAACGCAAACCTGTCGAGTGTTTTTTAAAATCGTCATAAACTCAGAAAACTTCGAGTCCAACGGATGATATGGCCTTTATAAGTACTTCAAAACTATCTTGCAAAATACCTCTGAACGTAAATGAGATTACATAAACTGTTATCTATAACCTCAATTTTTTTGTATTTGATCATATTTCAATTTAAATAAAACCAAAGTTTGTTTTATATACGGTTTTGCCTTTTCAAACTTTGTTGTCATTGCAGTGACTCAGATACAGTGATTCACATATACACACCTTGTAATGTAATCCGCCTGACGCTGATGAAACTTTACTTAACATTACGAAGGATGCACGGACTTTGTAACTCTAAGCTGACACGTCACCTTCGACCTTCAACCCCTTATCCCCCAGTCTAATACCCCTCCCCTTGACCAGGGTGAAGGCAGGGGGATTCTGACTGGGACCCCATCACGTCCTGTTTCCGTTGGGCCAGGGAGGCCGCGCCGCCTCCCTCCTCCTAATTGGCCGGAAATAGGTTGGATGTGTGACTCAGTGTTGTAGGGGTATGAATCGGCACGCGGTACCAGGCCGAGATGGTACGGTGATGGGGGTAGGGGCGGGGCTTGGTGAAGGGAGAAGGGAGGAAAGGATGACTGTATATACATCACTGCGTCACGGACCCGATATGATGGACACCGGATATGATGATTTGGTCTTTACATCACTTGTAGCTGAGCATAACCCACTTTCTATAAAATAAGGGGGGAAAATCAACATTCGCTGAAATACCATTATTGAAACTTAATTAACGACAGTGTCGCATTATATCTGATCATGCCTTGTCTCTGGTTATTTTTAGAATCGATTTGCCCACCAATAATATTTTACCCTGGTGCAAGCCTCACACGTGATATTTTTGCGCAAGTGCAGCGCAGCCCAGAAAAAAATGTGAGAAATCAGTGTATTTTACATCATTTTATCTAATTCGGTATCAGTAGTTTAAAGGATGGTGACATTAGGCTAGGGTTTTTGTCGTGGATAAAGTTTGATATTGCCATACTTGCGGGGTTTGCCGCTCGATCATGACGTAGAAAGACAATAAGCTGATGTACTCAACGAATGTACTCACAATTTCATTCAACTAGAATTTGGACAATGAAGTTAATGGTGATGCCGATCACGAGAATTACACCAATTGACTGTCCCTCATATCAATCACTCTTGGGGGCAACGGTCTTTCTCTCTTGCTGCCACGGAACTTTGGAAGAATCTCCCACTTGAACTGCGCCAAATGAAATCCCTGTCTACATTCAAATCTACCCTCAAAACCCATCTGGGTTTTTTTCCCTTCGTTTTTGTAATTAACGTTTTTCTTTGTATCTATGCGCCATGGGCGTCATGCCTGGCGGATACCGGCGCTTTACCAAGTGATCATTATCATTAACTTTGACTTAGTCCGCTTGTTTCATTTGCCTATTTCCTTTAGCTTCTTCCTCGGTTGCGTCTAGAATGGTTTGTGGGGCCTCCATCAAAAGTATCGATTCTGAACTTATGAAAAACAAATTCTTTTCTGTCAAAATGGCGTATCACTTCACACACAAGGTAGGACAACTATAAGAGTAAATTTTCCTGAAAGGTCCATAATAGTTTGTGTCATAGTTTTAATAAATAATTCACTTCAAAATGAGAGTTCGATCAAATTATATATCAGAGTTGCATGACTCGGACTTGGACTCGGACTTGAGTCCAATTCGAGTCCCATTTTCCGCGACTCGGACTCGAGTCACGATGACAAACGACGATCGGACTCGGACTCGGACTCGGACTCGACCTGTGTGACTGAGGACTCCGACTCGCGAGAGGTGAGTCGGACTCCGACTCGATGTTTGGTGACTCGAACACAAGTCTGTTATAAATCCAGTGATGTGGTTTGAAAACTGGTGTATCACAGTGCAATGGCTTTATGGGTGGCACTCGCATAACCCACGTGACTCTAAAAAGGAAAATACGAAGTGCGCCCTCTAAGATACGGAGGTGTTTCACATCTTCCACCCGAAAAAAACACTTTACACTAACATGCTTTTCTTATATCCCACCTCGGTTGAGTATCTGCCTTAATTATAAATCGATACTTGAAAACTTGCAGATCTTGACCTTCCCCAGCTCCCTAGATTGAGTCATAAATCCCAAATTATAGACGACAAAATATTTGGCAAGTAACCAAAAAGTACTTTATGTAGGTACAAAACAAAGGGGATAGAAAAATGACTGATTAGGTTTGATTTTATTTTTTCGTCCAAAGGACATTCCAATACCAAAGCAAACTCTGTACCGACCCCGTACCGTGTGCACCTTTTGCTAGGAAGCTAGCTCATTAAGCTAACTGGATCATGTCTAGTGGCTTAACTCTTTCTACCAACAAAGGTCTCTATGGCAGGAATTTCAACAGGCCTTTGTTGCTTCCAAGGTGCTCCTGAAAAAGTCCGACGCTACAGAAAACCGCCCCTCTTCTATGGCGAAGTCCTTTCTGTATGGTTGATACGACACAATACACTACAGGTGGCAAAATTGTTCAGTGCCTCCGTTTCCTAAAACGATAGGGCCAAAGATTTCCCATTCTGTGCTGTGGCTTGAAACTGCACATCCCAATTCGTGCCCCAGTTCTTCCGACTTGTAACCAACGTTTTGTTCTCAAACCGATCCGATTAAGGCCTCCCATACACAGCAATAGCATAATTACTCTCGTAGAAGATGAGTCAAAATTAGTAGTAAAACAACGATAACTGGCAGATGTTGTTTTACCCGTGAGACTGGAAGCCGGTGCCAACTGGTTTAGTCTTTACAAAGGACTGGATGTAGGTGAACGAGGTGCCCGGCGCGCTCCCTCTATAAGACTCGCCTCCTCATCTCACTGATCGACGACATCCAGCTAGGATCAAGTGCCTCGGCCAATTTGTGGCGTCAAGGTTTCTTTGGTGACAGTCCCAGTCATGACTTGAGTGTTGAATGTCCTGGATCTCTGTGGTCTCCCTCTCTTACTCTGAAGTCAACTTGTCATATACATAATTTGTCACCGTCTTATTAGTCCCTCTCTGTCCTATTATTTACCCGATTCTGCTTTGCGTCTTTTTCGCAATTTTTTTGAACATTTATACTAATTTTGTAAGCCTCTACTCGGATTGCCAACCGAAAAGTGGTCACCTAAGAACAGTTCAAAAAATTGGTCATGAAATCGGTGACCATTGGTCATTTTTTTTATATGACGTAGCATTCCAGAACTTATAACTCTACCACTCCCACTAATAGTGTTCGGAAATTGACCAAACTGGTCATCCATAGATGACCCGATGTCATTTTGTTGACCTGTTCGGCCGTCCCGAGCCGCCCAGCAATAGTATCGGCTAGTAGCGCTCAACTTTGGACAAAAGGGTGGGCCAGGTGTTGCAAAAGGGGGTGCACGTACATCGTTTAGTGCAAAAGGCCAAATTCGAGTCACTTTCTATTACGATATTTACCTACGGTTACTGTGACATCCATATTGACCTGGAAGGCACATGACACATTATTTTTTTACGAAGAAACTTAACTTCTTTTTGTCCTTTAATTTTACTGAATATTTCCTTTTTGAGAAGAAAACTTTACTCTTACTCCCTTTTAATTTTTTTTTACAGACAGAAGATTTGGAAGTTGAGGTAAACTGGTAAACAATCGAGCCAAAGCCTTAAGGAATATGTAAACTTGACTTCCTAAGTAACAAGGTTCATTGAAGGCTCAAAAGCTTTTCTGCTCTGACCGTCACCTCCCTGCTCTGGCTGTCTTGAAACATCACTTTGCCCCCCCCCCCCTCTTCCGCCATCAGTGACCTACGAGGTCTTTCCCAATCAACCACTGACTTCCGCTGGTCACTGCACTCCCATAGACGCCCCCTTGGTCACATGACAGGAATGCCTCCACCCTAACCGGATTCACCTGTTTCATACTTCATTTCAGAAGCAAGTCAAGCTGGACGGAAAATGGACAACAAATGCCTGTACGACACCTGTCATTTTTTAAGCACTTGTCATTTTGTCCAAGCAGTCGGTGGCAATAATTGCAATGACTCAGGCTTTGATTTTGTCACGATTCTCGGGAATGTTTTCTGGTCTGACTAAACAAGACCAGGCATAGACCATTATCATGTTGCGGCCATCGTGATTTTTCCCCATTCAAATCAATGTAACCAAAGCGAGGCTGGAAGGAAAAATAATCTGGTTCCTTTTTCCACAAAAAATTATCATTCAGTACTGTTATTGGATACAGGGAACATGACTAAAATGGTGGCAGCATGATAAAGGTCTATTGTCAGTGAGGATGGTCCCTCAGCGCGCAAAAGTCTATTTAGTGGCTATTCAGTGGCTATCCAAGTCTTTTTATGCATCTGGTCTTCACAATGGGCCGGATTTAACACATTCATTGTGGTTACGGGGTAAGCCTATACGATAGCACTGCCCGGCTTGCCAGTGAAACCCAGTCAGTCGGTCAGTCAATGAGATAGATACAAAGGGGACAATAGGATGCCCCCTTGGACTAGTAAGTATTACTGGCTGTATGGAGTCCACGACAACGTAGTGGCATTTTTCCCCATTTTCTTCCTCTAGGAGGCAAGGCAAAAATTGTGTGTTTTTTTTTGTGGTGGTCTTTGAAGCTAGCCTCGAGTACACAAGGAGAAATATCGTCACTCTAACGTCCCCCTCCATCACTCTCGCCTTTGGAACAGAAGATGAGAGCCTCCCCCTGACGAGACAAGACAGTTCCTTGTGAGATGTAATGTTTTGAATCATGACCTCAATAGACGATGTGAGGATGAGGACGATGACGGCTGACTCACCCCCTAGCAAGGTCTTGACCCTGATCTTTCGCGGTCCGCTTCAAGGATTCAAGAAGAGAATCCCAATCAAATGTTTGGTTTTGTCTCTTTTTAGGGGGCTATGAGAAACGGGGTCAATGGGGAAAAAAATCTTACTCGTCTGTTTCGATGAAAACATCTGTGTCATTTTGCTTATGAAGACCGGAGATTCGGTCGAAAATTACAGGAACGAAATTCTCTAGTGTTGTGAACAAAAGTTTACCTCTAAATTATATCTAACTATCAACACAGCTGAACTTTCACGCGTTTTAAAGATTTGTTTGCTTAAAGACTTGGGTAAAAACACCGCAAAAATAGATAGACAACGTAAAAATAGA